CGGGCACCAGCCTCTTCCCCACTCCCCTTAGCTGTATTCATTCCACACACCGGTCACTACCAGTGGTCAAACACACACCGGTCAGTGCCAGTGGTATACTGACTGGGTGTTAGAGTTCATCCACAAGGGAAGACGGTGAATACGTAGTTATGGGAGACTGGGCCGTTCCCAGATCGTGAATCAATGGCTCTGTATGATATGATTAAGGAGTAAACAGTAGAAATGAAGCAAACATTTGATCTAAGTTACCAGAGGCCCATTCGATGAATTTAAAATGAGAAAAGAACGGAGACGGGGAAGTGTTTGGATATCATTGTATAAATTGTATTCGTATTGTGACAATGATTCGTATCAGATGTGTCTTGGTGTGACCGATGGCGGTGTTCAGCAGCGATCATTCTCAGGCACCCGTGTATGGAATCCTAGAAGGGACATTGTCGCGTTGGCGAATTGTCCCGTTGCGGTATTGTCGCCCTATCAGTGTAAATAGTGTCAAAATAAATCAGATTATGGTGCTTTCTTTCAGCTTGACAAATTTGGCAGGCTATCAAAACTGATTCTCACTCCCCCAGGTATGGGATCCTGAAAGGGACGTCGTCGCGTTGTCGAAATGTCACATTGTCGCCTTACGTAAACAAGCGAACAGTACATAATCGAGTCTGGAACAGACAGTCCAGTGATCAACAGCATGAGCATCCATCTACACAATATTGGGATACGATGACATGTGTCAACCACGTCAGCGAGCCTGACCACCCAGATCCCGTTAGTCGCCTCTTACGACAAGCATGGGTTACTGAAGAGCACTGCTAACGCGGATCTTCACGGGTCAGATGTTTATATTTGAATCTGTGATTTTGTATGGGCAACAATGCAACAACGCGGCGATCTGATGCTTTGCTTTGATAAATATGCATATTATGTAAGCTCCATATAATATTAATATACATAAACTGCTGGATGGAAATCAAATTTGATGTCGTCTTTAAACGCGGATGTGTTTGAAGCTGAAGCCAATACTGAAAATCATAACTATATATAGTATGCTGTTGTGTACTGCCGAGTTGTGTTCTTAGGGCATGGATACGCACACCATGGGTTCGAATCCTAGAATGGTTGTCATGGTGATCTCTGTTTTTGCGGCACAAATACGCTGGTAATGGGATCCATACCACATTACACAGATGGGCGGTTGGGTAACCGAGCGATTAAAGCGTTCGTTCGTAGCGCAGATGGTCCGTGTTCGATTCCTACTATGGGGTCTGTGTCTTCCATCCCTAACGGGATATTGATTGAATATTATTAACTGTCGTAAAGCCTCACTCATTCACACAGGTGCGAGCTGTAGAGTATTGTAATTTTTTAAAAAACAACATTTTAAATGGGAGGCGTTGGGTTTCTGCACAGGGTAATGCCGCACATTTTACCTTTTATATACCTATAATTTTAACTTTACCAAAGTCATAATGGATAGAATTTGTAGCTAGGTGCAAAAACGAATAAAAGAAAACACAGTAATATTAAAAAATACTCACGGATGTAATTGATAAAAAAAAGTAGTGTCATAGAGCATAACATAGGCTGACGTCACAGACAAAAAGAAACGCGATAACAATGACGTCACATACCAACGGAACAGACATTATAAAACGACATTATATAATCCCCAACAGTAACATCAGCCTTGCCGGGTCACAAAGACTCGTAAACTCCAACGTAGAAAGTTGCGTCCCTTTGTGCATGCAAGGATCCGTTGATCATCGCTCAGAATCCCAGACTCGCTTTGATGATAATCTGGTTCCGGTTCGTTCCCCCGACAGACTGGAACAGCTTGGACGACCGGATAAGTGCAGCGACACCAAGCGGAGGATCGTGGGTTTCGTCAGAGGCAAACGTCCAGCATCTCCATAAGTTCAGGTTTTCCTTCCACATCAAGATGACACGTCATGATATTACTGAAGAAGTTTTGAAAAGCGTTTGACCTGTTGTAACTTATTCCCTCCTGTAGTCTCTATGCTAATGGTAGCATGGGATCAATAGATCGGAAGATCAGGATATGACTTGGTCGTATGATCGTACCCCGACGGCCTGAATGGTTGCTCACAATGTCGATCACCTGCTGGTCTGCTGCGGACTTGATTACTTATAGGCCCATAGATAGACTAATACTCGGTGCGATATTAACCCATTGAATGCCGAGTTCGACCTTATCGACTCACATAAACATAAGATCTCTGCCATCAAACAAACAAATCTTGTCTTGCTTGAACTCTACCTCGTTATCCAGGAACATGTTCACTTGAAATCAATGTCACGTGACCACATAATTCATAAAAAACAATACACTTATTAAACAAACAAATGGTAACAAACGATACGTGTTTCACTCAATATTTATTGGCTCTGTTACAAACACAGGACTTTACTGATGAAATATCGTTGAAATAGTTTTCACAACAGCTACATTTATTCGGACAATTCGATCCAAACCATCCATGTGAAAAAAGATCGAATGGAAGCGATCTGTCAGTGTCTCTACGTCACTTCCGGTTCGGTGTAGCTTACCCTCGATCCAAATCAAAGTAGGATCGGAACACTGCTGCAATGAACAAAAATATCATTTTGTCCACAACAGGAAACGAATATCGATGAAAATGGGAATGGCGTTTTGCCGACTCGTATTCAGCTCCGAAATTAAACAAAGTCTAAAGTTACACTTTATTAATCGATTTTGGTTAAAAATAACTCGGTTAAGCGTGATAGTACTCCGTTATTTGTATTGCACACATTGTTTTCAATCCAAGCGCTTTGAATTGACACGTCCTATTCTATAGATAGCAATGTTCAATTAAAGTACTGGGAAAATAGATGTAATTAATAATAGCAGTGATTATTGTGTGTGTCTCTAGGCTAGTTTTTTCATATTTGTTGGATGGTGAACTTTTAAGAGAAGAAATGGAAGTTCCGTTTTATTAGTGCAGTTGATATGTGACTGTCACACACTTACAAGCTCGCTAAGGTTCCGTTGTCCCCCTCCTCCGTCTCCATCCGTCTATCTCTTCATCCGTCTTCTGTGTATGTGGCCTCACCTTAGGCAAGTGGGTTTGTTTTCGTCCAGCAGAAAATGGGTACCCGGTGGGATAGGTCATCCGAGGTAATAATGTTCATCATGTTGTATGCGCTTAGGGGATGCCCGGGTTGAGTGGAGTTTAGCGCTATATAAGGGGCCTTATTATTATGATTATTATTATTTCGTCGACGGACGACAACATACCAATCGAATGGGGAATCTGTTGAAAAGGAGTAAGTGAGTATGTTCTTAGCTTTTAGCATTAATCCAGCAATATCAATGCAGTGGACACCAGCTATGGGCTTCCCACGTGTAGAGAATCGAACCTAGTCTTCCGCGTGACGAGCGAACGCTTTAACCACTAGGCTACCCCACAGCCTTCGTTGTATTGGGAGAGATATTACGATTACGATGATTCCTGTGTTTATTTTGGAGTGTCGTCACATTCCATCTACCATCAACGTAACACACGTGAGTTTTTACATACAGTGTACATATATTTTAAGTGACAATAAAGTAGTTGTGAAATCTACTGGAACTACTTACTTAATCTGTTGGTGTGATATGTCAAGGTGTTGAATTGACTAGTGTCACTCTGTCACACTCCGCATCTCTGTGTATGGATATGTATCTATCTAGAGACCAATAAACCCTAGAGATGGTGCCAATCTGGCTGTAATTGATTTACTGCGTGACGCAGGAATTCCCCTACAGCCCTGCCTACGTCATCATGGCGACGACAGAGGTCGCTAACCAAGTTTAATTGTCTCGTCTAACCATCACTTAGGTAACCTCAATTACCCCCCCCCTCCACATATCCACCCACCCGTCTGTCTAGTCGCCTGTAGGTCTATTCAAATATACTCAGTGTATCAAGTTATGAATATATCTCTTTGTCAGCGTATACCAATCTGAAAAGACGATAAGTATATGGTTACATACAGATCTATCGAGCCGTTCGTCGGTGAATGCTTCTCTCATTTCGTCTGTGTATCTTTCCGTCCTTCACTCTGTTTGTCTGTCTATCACTTGTCAGTCCGTGGCAGCCCTATTGTCTCTCGTTACTTCCGTCTGTCGTTCCCTGTATGTTCGTGGGGCGATGGGGTAGCCTAGTGGTTATAGCGTTGGCTCGGCACGCCGAAGGCCCGGTTTCGATTCCCCACATGGGTACAACATGTGAAGCCCATTTCTGGTGTCTCCCGCCGTGATATTGATGAAATATTGCTAAAAGCGGCGTAAAACCCAACTCACTCACTCACTCACGAGCGTGACGAGCGAACGTTTTAACCACTAGCCTAACCCACCGCCCGGTAACGGTGGAGAGCCTGGTTGGAGCATTATTAGGTACAGTGTGTGAAGTCCATTTCTGGTTTCCCCCACCGTGATGTTAATGGTTTATATATACACGCGGCATAAAACAATACTTACTCACTCACTCAGTCGACTTGGGCGGAGCCACTCTCAGTGCAGAAATGTGTCCTAATTACAGGCAAAGCGTGTTGTCGTCATTTAATTATGTAATCATTCTTTGTTTTAATTAATTTACATACGGCCATATGCTGTCGTGGAAAAAGCACCTGTAGCCGTTAAACCGCCCTCGGGAGATATAACCAGGGGCTCAAAATCCCATTTTAATTACAAGTACAATGCCTTTGTACTCAGACCGATGTAACAGGAGAACTCTCCATAAATCTTTGATGAGGATGCCCTCGAAAGGTCATCACGTGACCACCACAACAAGCACTCTCCTTCCGTTTTCACCCAATTTCGGATTATTGGGGTCATGAAGTTGGTTTGAACCCCGGACTCTTAGACGAGAATGGTTGGTACTATAAGTGAGTGAGTGAGTTTAGTTTTACGCCGCACTCTCCAATATTCCAGCTATATGGCGGCGGTCTGTAAATAATCGAGTCTGGAACAGACAATCCAGTGATCAACAGCATGAGCATCGATCTACGCAATTGGGAACCGATGACATGTGTCAACCAAGTCAGCGAGCCTGACCACCCGATCCCGTTAGTCGCTTCTTACGACAAGCATCGTCGCCTTTTGTGGCAGGCATGGGTTGCTGAAGACCTATTTTACCCCGGATCTTCACGGGTCTGGTACTATAAATAGATACAAGGATACCAGATGCTAAACATGCTGAATTTTACCCCTGCTCTACACATATGATATAATAATGATCATATTTTTTATTATTAAACACACTGAATTTTTTTAAATGAATGTTCATATAAGTCCCTTTCCAACAACAGCTTGTTTAGCACTGCACTCAGCAGCCTGCTAATGTCTGATCAACACATTATAGTGATTGATGTTGTGAACAACGTCGGGATAGACGGAATCAACGAAGTGACCGGCCCAAACAATCAGTCGCCTCTTACGAGCTTCACGGGGTCAGTATGCCTAGACAGGACTGGAACGACAGAACGTTTGATATAAAACAAAAAGCTATCCAGCCACGTCAGTTCTTTGGAATGAATAAGTAAGTCAGGTTTGTATGCAATATTCCAGCAATATAACGGTGGAGGACACCAGAAATGGGCTTCACACATTGCACCTATGTGAGGAATCGAACCCGGGGCTTCTCTTGAACAACGAACGAATACTTGAACACTAGCTACCTCACCACCCCTCTTTCTTTGGATGTTGAACAGACAACATTATCTGAGACAATGCCGTTTGAACAGAGAGTGAGTGAGTTGGATTTAACGCCGTTTTAAAGAGAATTCCAGTTATATTAGGACGTGTCTGCTTAACGAGGGAGCAATGCCCGTAGTAATGCCTGTCTCCGATATTCACCACTCTGGGGGAGCCTACAAACCAAAAGACATAATCGGGACGAACCGGGATTCGGACCGCAATTCATAGGTTCCTGGCGAGCTACGGGAGGCAACTCTGCACAGAGAATTGCGGCGCCTCAGACGACTGCACCACCTCTGTTAAAACCACTTTCCCGAACAGTGTATAGAGGAAGCCCCATGAGTGTGTAATTCCTCTTCCAATCGACCAGTTTGTCAACACAAATCATGTCCTTTCTTGACAAAAATACACATTACAAGATGAAGAAGTATTTCCCGCTAACTCAATCTCCTGTGAACAAGTGACAACATATGAGACAGAGCCCAGCCTCACACAATCCTTCTGACGTCACACCAAGCTCTCTGAATAATAGCTCTTCTATGACGTCGCGCCGAGAGCTCTGGGAACCACATATTCTTCTGGTCACGTCAAAGTCTCGTGCTAGCGCCCTGAAAACTGAAAATTAAGAAATACGTTGAATGGAGCGTTGAACGGACGAATGACGCGCGGCACGATATGGAAGCTCGCCTGTGGTTAGATCACCAGGCAACAACGCTAAGGCGTACTGGTCTCCTGCGGAGCATTTCGTTAAATGGATTTCGCGATCAAATAAGGTACAGGAATGTAATCTCTGTTTGTTTAGCGGATCAAAAAGAGCCTGGACACTTGCAGTCAGTAATCAGTGCTTCAAAAGAATCGTGCCTCGCTTCCTTATCATATGTTGTTCGTGAGGAACATGACATTTCTTAATTGACCGAATTTAAAAGTTTTCTTACGAGAAGGAAAATCGGCTAAAATTGCGAAAACAGCCAGATGAATCTGCCTTTGATTCAGACGAATATAAAGCGAGTTAGAAAATGCCATTGGTGGTGTTTTTTATCGTTTTCTCGTCACGAAATTTCTTTTTTCTGAAATGAAAGTGAATAATTTAATATTTCCGTATTGCGTGAATACACATTCGCTGTCTTTTCTTGAACAATGACAATGACGTTTTGCTAGAAAAATGCTAAGTTTGTTTTATTTTTGAAAAATAATGGAAATACCGTTTCTGATTTTACAGACAAGTTTTTATTCTGTATTTTTTAACTTTAATAGTATAATCAGCATCCGTTTTTCTTTAAAACTGATTCACAAACCAACTTCCCTGTGGAACAAAAAAGGATTTTGATTTAAGTGGTAACTAACCAGCATTATTATTAAAAATAGCTCTACATAACAGAATGATCACGTTTGAACACTGAAGCCGATTGAGTGAGCGAGTTGTGTTTTACGCCGCTTAGACGTTTACCCCTTTGGCAAAACCCGCGACCACGGCATGGGGATGACAAACTTGCGTTTAGAAACATAGTCAGGGCGAACCTGGATTCGAACCCACGATCATTGGTTCCTGGTACGCGCAAGGGAGGCAACTCTGCAGTGCGAATCGCCGCTAAAGACAACTGGGCCACATAGCCCACAAATTCAATACATGATATAGAGGGATTATTTTTGCAATCATTTGTTTCAAATTACGTTGAAATACAGCTCTTTAATTACATTTCCCGTTATTTTTGCTATGTTGATCTCTCGCATCGTGACGTTCCCCCCAAAAGATGTGAGTGAATGAATTCGGCTTAAGGCCGTTGAACAGTAACTAATATACATCACAGTGTGTCAGCTTAAGGTGGGAGAAAATCCCAATTAAACACAAGTGCTGACAGACCAAGGGTTATGATCTGGGCGCTCGTGGATTCAAACCTAAGAGCAGCTGATCCAGGGAATACCAAGGGACAGAACTCTTCCGCTGCCTCCAAGAAGATGACGTGTGTCGTCTTTTCAATAAAAAAACCCAGTTTGTCATTGACGTGAATTGTTTCCGTGTAATATGAAGCCCCAGATGGTATAGATTTTCTGCTCCCACACCCATTTACATTTTCCGGCTAAGTAACCTATAGAATAGTACTAGTCACCCCTAGCCTGTACACAGGTATATATTACAAGTCACTTACCTAGCATGATACAACATATAACATGTGTTTCATTTTAGTGCAGGACCAAAGTCGAAGAAACTATCAGGAGTCTAGCTGCCAAACAGTTTTTGATGTGAATGCATATCGGATCACCCATCCACCTACTCTCCGCCATTACGGCGCTTAACGTTACGTGACTTTATCTCTGCGTGTTGTACAGGGCCGCGTAGCAAATCGTGACGGATGCTAATCACGCAATCATCCACCAACTAAGCAGTAATTGTACAAAATGACCGATCACCCATAGCCTACAAAATACAGATCTTATAAAAACTTGTTAAACATATGAAACAACAACTACTGAACAAAAGATTCCGGAGAAACTATTGACCAAGCTCCTGCTGGTATGGGTTCGTTTAACAAAATTGTTTTCGATTAATAAGAGTGAGTGAGTGAGTATGGTTTTACGCCGCTTTTAGGAATATCTCATCAATATCACGGCGGGGACACCAGGAATGGGCTTCACATGTGGGGAATCGAACCCGGGTCTTCGGCGTGATGAGCGAACCCTTTAACCACTAGGCTACCCCACCGCCCCTGTGCTATTTTGTATTTTAGCTGAATACATTGTATACTCATGCCAATAATGGTTGTCACCCCCTTCAAATTTTTTTTATTGGAGAGGGTGTGTGGGTGTGGGTGGGGTTGGGGTGGGGAGGGATGACAACCATTATTGGCATGAGTATATTTATGAGTCAAGTAACTGAAAAGAACTCACTGTTTTTTTATATTCGGATTTGTTACTACGCTTCAAAATAACAAAGTAAACCAAGTCACCCATCGAATGCAAACTAAAAACTGTTCTTGATGTACGATGATAAGCACTATGAACTATTCACTTCTAACATGGAAACTGGACGATGGGGTAGCTTTGTGGTTATAGCGTTAGCTTGTCACGGCGAAGCATTGGGTTCGATTCTTAGAGTGGGAACAATTTGTGAAAGGAATTTCTGGCATCATCCATAGTAATATTGTTTGAATATTGCTAAATTGCGGTGTAAAACTATACCCACTCACTCCAATATGGAAACAATATCGGTCGTACACCTCTTCACCGGGATTGTATGAGGTTGTATAACGTGAAATCGGGAAGCAATTACGCTATTAAAAATGTTTCACAATCTGAAAATCACGGGAACAGTATGCTTATGGCATGACGTGTATCTCAATTAGCGGATCCTGTCACGATCATGCCTCTGACGACTTGATCGCCCGTGCCTAGTCTGTTTCACAGTTCCTGAGGGACGGTGGTTTAGCCTTGTGGTTAAAGCGAAGCGTTGGCTCGTCACGCCAAAGACACGGGTTCGATTCCCCATGTGGGTACAATTTCTGGTGTCCCCCGCCGTGATAATGCTGGAATGTTGCTAAAAGCAGCGTAAAACCATACTCACTCACTCACAGTCCTGATCCACGTTAGCTTCGCTTCCGCCAAGCCCTGTAGTTTCTGCAATGCGAAAGCCCTTTTCAGATTTTCCTTGATTCAGGTTTTCAATCTCCCATCTCCTCAGGTCTCAAATTACAGCATTAAATGGAATTATTTGTTTCTATCAAAATTATATATATTCAGAGACCAATAGTTAGTCTAGAAATTATCCTCTGGACATTTCCTCGCAGATTCGTTGACACATAAATACTAAGATATACTCTTCGGAGCATTTAATAAACACAATACAATTTCAATAACAGTATAAATAATGTTCAAAGGCTGTTAACCAGCAATGCTTGTTAAATAAACACCGGTTTAAATAAGACCAACCAGCAGCTCCACTTCATCAGCCAGTACATCGATATAGAGGAGACAGGTGCTACTATTATCCTACACATTACGAGAGCCTGAAGTGCACTGTACTTCTATCGCCATCTGTATTTGAAAAATATTAATTTCATGTTTTCTCTCTCTAATTTTGACAGTGATGGAGCGACTGTGAGAGCAGTTCCCGCGAGAGTAGCGTCAGTGGGGATGAGGCTCCGAGAAGCACAGACGTCATTAACGTCCATACTACCACCTGATGGTGTGATGCAATGGACGCTGACCTTGTTGAATGCTACTGTGTTAAAATTTCGATGCTTTACAACCTAGATCGCCATCGAGAAGGCGATCGATAGCGCCTTATTTTCGTGATAAGACAGGTTGAATGCATTTCGTGAAGGCAGGATGGCCTAGTGCTTAA